CCATTCATGTTGTTAGATCTTTCCAATGTATGAAGTTTGTCCTTATAAGGTGCTAAAAAAGAAAGTTCTGTATGATACTTTGAGCTGTAACACTTTTAGAAATTCCTACAATTAAATTTGATAATTATACAGAATTTTATGTCTAAGATTTAGGAAATATCAGGTTTCTCAGCAAAAATCAAGCAAATCCTAGAATTTCGGTTCTTTTCCTATTACTTTTAAATACCTGTTACAATGGCTAGTTTATTTATATTTAAATAATTTTCATACTGATATAATTTAGAATTTCCCCCAAAATTTTGCAAACTAATCCTTTCCGAAAATTCAAATTAGCGTTTAAATTACACTAAGTTTTTTTTTTTTTTTTTGGGGGGGGGGGGGGTCTTTTCACTATGGGAAAACGTTTTCCGAGATTTTTTTATATTTGAGTAATTTTCATACTGATTTCGGTTAAGATTTCCTCGAAAATGCATCGTACAATAATTCTTTTTTAAATCCCAAATCAAGGTTTAAATTCGCTCTTCTTTAAGACTAGAAAAAATCGTTTTCGTATTTATATTTAAGTATTTCCATACTGATTACCATTAGGATTTTCTCGAAAATACATAAATTAATTCTCTTCCTAAACTCAAATCAATATTTGAAGTTTATTTTGTTGGTTTTGCTGGTCTTTTGGACTACGAGAAGTTGCTCTCGAAATTACTTTAAGTCATCCTTCTTTGCCTGTAATTATCGGCAAAATTTTCCTGTAACTATCGATATCCAAAATCCTTTCTTTGTTAAGCGCTATTTAATAAAGAAAATCTCCTTTAATACAATATAAAGCATAAAAGCACCGGCCATTTTAATGATAATCTAGGTCTAAGATAAAGTGGTTAAATGAATTTCAAGAGTATGATTGAGTTATAAATATAAATTTCAGTTTTAAAAAATAATGTGTAATATAATGTTTATTTAGTTATGCAGGAATTAACTGCGTGAATGTTTCGTTTCTAGTAATAGACACCTCAATTCTGAAATTATAGTATAAGTACATAACCGTTAAAGTGTTTGAGAAAATGTTATAATAAACCCAAAGCCACAAAAGTTCTGTGAATTTTAAGACTGTCTTGTGAATTTTGTTCTTTCTTACCACAGCAAAATTATCGTTTTAATGACACTACAATAAAGAGAAACAAACACCTGAACCAAATGGGATTATAAGGCACTCAGATAAAAAAAAAAGTTCAATTCAATTAAATTAAAATTAGAGAATCCTCATCCGTAGGCCAAATACTTAGTTATTCTAACACAGTGAGATAATTTTTTGTTTGCTTGTTTTTTCGTTTAGCGCATTTCAACAGCTGAAAAGTAAAGCATTTCTGTTCCCATTAACACATATGAAAGACTGAAGTTTCTTCTAAAGAAAAAAAAGTTCTTTTTTTCATTCTAAACATCCAACGTACATTTTTATCTCCATTAAAATTAAGCAACGCAATTAATCTAGATTAGGAAGATTTTAAGCACATACATAATCTTGTATTCTTTTCTACTGTGCTAAAATTAAACAATGACATTTTTTAGTAATTACATACCTTCGCAACAATCTTGGCGCAGTTTGGCGTATTTTTACGGATGAAAATGTAAATATTACTTAGTATGGGCAAGTTGGTGGTTTTCGAGCCTTCTTTTCTAGCAGAATAATCAAATTATCGATATTTATAGTAAGTTTGGTAAGCAGTATCAGCACAAGAAAAGAAAACATAATTTGAATTATGAAATAAGGATTATGTCATACATTAAAAAAATAAAACACATCTTCTTCGAATCTTTCTGTAATATTTTTCCTTTTGCGTTAATTTTCTCCCGAAGTATACAGCGGTCTAGTTTCACTTAAAAACATCAGAGAATTATCACAGCTGAATTATCAGTGGTCATCAGAGCTGACCACGAAGATGTTCATCCGTCTCAATGATACTTTCATAGATCATGGTCTTATTGGATTCGGAAATTTCCAGATTCGGAAATCTATTCATTGTATGCATGTATTTATGTGTATGTATATACAGGCACACACACACATACATACATATATATATATTCAGGGTGCACCGTAAATGTTGCGACAAATTTCTAGGGCAGGTCCACATTCCCGCATCGATGGATTGGGCGTGGTGGACCAGTTCCCTGACCCCCCACTCGCCGGATTTATCGACGCTTGATTTCTTTTGTGAGAAGCCATCAAAAATATTGTATATCACGATCCTATCGTGTCTGAAATGGATCTCGTGGGAAGACTCACCTGCGCAGCTGCTGCAAATAAAGAAACTCCCGGTGTATTTGAACATGTCCGGCAATCAATGGTCCGTCGGTGTCAGGCTTGTTTGGCGTCTGATGGTACAAAATTCGAGCATCTGTTGTAAAATTAAAGCTGTCGAAACACCATTTGTATTCATGTCCAGTAAATGTTTAAAATTAATCACTCTCTTGTTTCCTTTCCCATCTTCTATCTCTGCTACCCTGATATTTCCGGATATAGGTCCTATGTAATTCTTAATCCTTATGATGTGCCCTACCTCCCCTAGAAGTTTGTCGCAACATTTACGGTACATCTTGTATATACACATACATACACACATATAAGCATTTCAAAAACGCGACGTCAATCTCTAAATCCTTTCAGATTTTCTTCCTTTTTACTTCCTTGTACGAAGTAAAAAGGAAGTACTGTAATCGCGAAAAGTTTCAGGCAGCATATTTCGACGAAAATATCCATTTTGACCGCTATCGAATGCAATTTAACGAGGTTTTTGCGTGACATCGGTACGTAAGGACAGAATAAAAGACTCTTTTCCTTGAAAAAAAATTATAAAACTCCTTTAAAATGAATTCTGAAGAGAATTCACGTACGTATGTATCTCGCATAACTCAAAAACGAGTAGTCTCAGAACGTTGAAATTTTGTATACTATAACATTTGCATACCATTTTTGTATACTATTTGTATACTTTGTTGAAATTTTGGACTACTATAACATATAGATGTGCACCTCGTACTTTGGTTGCAATCGGCCGCACCAAACGTATATAAATATATTCATATATATATCCACTCTGTTACCCGGCTCAGTGATCTCAGTTTCTTTACTCTTGTATGTTTGTAAATTGTGCATTTTTTGCTTTAAAAATTATTGAATTATGTTGTTCTTATGTTCTGGTTAAAGTTTTTATGCCTTTAGGAAATCTGCAAGCAGTATTTGTAGAATTATCAACAATTTAAAAGCTGTTTAAGTGCGGTTAAGCCTATTTTTAAATAACATGGCGGACATGCTTGTTCACATTTGAAACAGCAGAATAGTAGATTTGTTGCCAATCTAGTGAGACTATACTTCCTTTTTACTTCGCAACAACAAAGATAACGCATTCATGTATTATTGCGAATTAAATCATGCTTAATCCTTTCTGGAATTTTTTCAAGGAAATAGGTGTTTAAGATTTACTTCGTAATTTTTAATATAGATATTTTGAGTTTTTATGTATTTTTGCCTTGTCGCGAAGTGAGAACTGAATTAATTGAATGAGAAAGGCAGAATCGTCTGTGAAAAACTGTTTCTTTTTTGTTTAGTTTGCTTAATTTCTTTTATACATCGTTCTAGATTTATATAGCATTTGAATATAACATGTGACAAGGATTAGATAATTCTTCACATGATATAAATTTTGTGCATTCTGAGTTATAATACGAACGAAATATAACGCTGTTAAGTGAATCCTAGCGCCAAAGTTGTCGCTATGGTAAACAAATATAGAGTGAATTTTAAAGAGTTGCATTTATTCTATTGCATTTTATGCGCTATCGACGAAGTAGATTTAATTCAATCCAATAAATTTAAATGAAATGCAAGAAAAAATGCTTATAATTTAATAATATTCCGTACAAGAAAGTCATGTGGTGTACACATCATATTTTTTATATGAATGTTTTTATTATTTATTTTGATAATTTTACGTTGGTATCATTATATTTTCCAACAGAAATGTGCAACAAACGTTGGTGTTTTTTAAACTGAAAATATTTTTGAGTTTGATTTTAACGTTATTCAATATTAAGAATTTAGTTTTGTGAAACAAAAGTAATTATATCATTTTGATTCGAGAAAAAATAAGTAATATTTGTAATTTTTTCCATTTTAAGGTATTTTAATATTTGAAAAATTTAATGTCAGACTCCTCTCAGAAGACTCATGCTGTTACTGTTTGAAGTCTTCCGTTGTACGGTTTTGATTTACTTTGGTTTTGATTATAATTTAACTCTTCTAAAAGTAAACATTAAACTTTAAACATGCATATTTTTAAAATGTTGTGTTGTGCAGGTTAAAAAAAATATTTTACTTGCATAACACAAATAAAATTAAAACTAAAGCAATATTTTTTAATTTACATAAACGAATAAAATTAGTAATAATTTAATATAATACATGCTGTGAAATATAATTATATTCATTTACAGTTTGTAATAAATTTATGATTTCAATAAAAAATTTCAAAAAAAAAGATGTCGTCTGTTTTTCTGTTAAGGTGAGGAAGGCTGTAAATTAATGCATATGTCGCTCACATTTATTGAAATTAATATGAGATTCTTAAAAAATTATGCGTTAATTTTACGTGGTTTAAAAAGAAGAAAAACTAATCTGAATAATCGTCATTCCAGTTGTCTGGACTATTAATAAACGTAGCTCTATTATGCACACAAATTAAATGTGAATTTAATGCCTTTTCTCCATAAAACATTATTCATAATATGTTTTACTAAAATTCAGTCTAAATATGCAACTGCATTTTTATTACAAGATCTTTTAAATGTGTGACTTTTTGTTTCGTTTTGATTGAGTCTGAAATACAAAATATGACTTCTTCTATACCCTAGTGGAGGTTTTATATCTAAACAGCTGAAAAATGTTTAGATATATTTCAATAATAACGAGATGAATTAATTCCTTTCTCCTTCTTTGCTTTTAATAGATAGACTCCATGCAATCCAGAAGTGATCTAGATGTGGACGTCTTCTTGTTGAATGCTGTCTCCTCCACGCAGTCTTCTCTTCCATCAAGTCAACAAGAGAATACGACAACAAAGATACCAGGGTCTGCAACCACTCTGATGATGACTACTCAGATGGGCTCTAGTCCAAAAGCGTCCGATATATTGTCCAAGCTTATTTCAGATATGCCCATCCCTAAGCATCCCAAGAACTTCGTAGTGTTTGCTCCAGTAGCTGACACAGAAGTCAGCAAGAATGACCGTAAGGGTCGACGACTAGATGATAAAATGGTTATTCAGGACAATGATGACCTAATAGCTGAAGAAAGTGTGTATTCCGAAGATATTTCTCAAGATACTGCTGAAGGCAAAATTCCATACAACAGAAAAATCAAATCTTCTAAAGAAAGCAAAATTCCTCACAAATCCGCCGGGAAACATACCGCAGGTATGGCTCAACGACAGAAACCGTTTAATCCTGCAGACTCAGGAAGTCCCCCACAGCTCATCAAAAGACAAAATAGAGGCGATTACTATGTTACATTTCCGACAAACGATAAATCTTCTGCGAAAGCAATATCCAACAGAAACAGCGTCCCTCCGCAACCAAAATTAAACCCAAATGCCCGTCCAAATTCTGGTTTCCCTAACACAATTCCAGCTAATAATAAAGGCTTTCACAGGCCAGAAGAGAGCAAAATGAGTATGGACCAGATTCTTAGAAATCCTCAACCATATCCAAATGAGCCGATGAGAAATTCTAACCCAAATATGAAGAATCAACCATTTCAGTCTTTTCCAAATCAACAAGACAGCAATCCCTTTCCAAATCCTGCACAATCCCCACAATTCCTAGAGTCTCAGTATTCTGGACCTAATAAACGAATGCCACCCTATCAAGGAGGATCTTTACAAGGACAGAAAGTCATGCCACCTCCAAATACACCTAATCAAATTTCTCAACCACCAGGTTTCCAGAATCCTTCTCAGTATCCCCAGAATTCGTATTCAGTTGATAATGCTCAAATGGGTAGTGGAGCTCCGCAATATTTTGCTCCTCCACCTCAAACATTCCACACTAAAGTGAGCTACGATCAGCCTGCGAATAAATTTTCTCCAACCACTTATGAAAAAGTGGCACAAAGTTCTGTCGATACAGCAAATGATGGATTGCATCACCATCACCATCATCACCATCATCATGAACCAAGCCCTTCTAACTCGGATCCCATAGGTGATGTCAACTTGTCTGATGTCGGCAGAAACAATGATGCCGATAGGTTGGGCTCCATTGGAATCGGATTCGGAGCTCCTAGAGGAATAACTCTTCAAATTGGAGGTGGAGCTGGAGGTGGTGGTTTGAGTGGCCTGCTTCCACTAAGTGCTTTGGGAATTGCGAAGAATATTGTCTCAACTTTCTTACCACGACCTCAGCTTGGGCTCAATTCAAAAGTCTTTCTAGGTGTGGAGGTCGGTAGAGGTGGAGGACTTTCTATAGGGTGAGGAGCTGACCTGCGTACTTATTGATGTGAAATACTTAAAAAAATTATTGTTATTAAAACATTTATGACTATTTTATTTGAAGCAGTTTTGGTTCAGACTTGGAAATGTTTACAACAGACAGCAGAGCTGCCATAAGAATTTCATATCTAATTTTTTTTGGAGAGAAAGAAAACTTCAACCAAAATTTGTGAATATTTCAGCTAATAGCGCAGCTAATGGAACTTAAAGAACATAAAGATGTTCATAAAAATATTCTTTATTATAATGTGAAATGTTAAACACATATAAAACTGAATCGGAAATAAGATCGTAGGAATAATTATCGAGTAAATTATAGTTCTAAATTCAGTAATCCAATGTAAAAAAGACACTGGAATAATTCCAGTAATATGGTTGTGGAACTGGCACATATTTAGTTGCACATAAATAGTGTACCGTAGATATTATTTCTAGATTACATAGCAGTTATGAATTGCCCTTTTAACACATACGTGATTTTTTGTCATTGATGACTGTGTTATGTAAGCAACTTAAAATGATTATATTTCTTGTTCTATTATTTTGGGCGATGCTCCTTCTTTTACATTGCTGGCAATATTAATTTAAAAATAAACATGGGAAAAAGAAAAGTAGTAAGAGAAAGAGCATGCACAAAAGAATTATTACGAGACAAACTATTTATAAAGGAGTGTTTCTAAGCCAGAAGAATTACTGTTAGACAAGCTAAGCATCTAGACGTGCTTCTAGACCAATGCCGCTTCAGAATTTTTGATTTCTATTATCTTTTTCTTGACTTCTGTAAAAATCAGGTAAGAAAGGTAATTTCGTTCAAGTACAGAAAACTTATAACATTTATCTTAAAGCCATGTTTATTTTTATTTTTATTTTTTTTTTTTTTGCTTCATTAATTTGTTTGCAAAGAAAACAGAAGAAAAAATATTATTATTATTATCGTTTTCGTAATCGTTTTTTGATTCATTTTACAAACGGACATGGAAATATCTATGCGTATCTGGTATACGGGACTAGTTGCCAAAAACTGTTAATTCACAATTTAATTTCAATATAATATTCCATCTTTTGAAATCTGTCTTATATATAAATTGTAATATTGTTTAATATACATTTTTTGTGTTTTAGCATATTTTAGTCGATCAAAAAAATTCTTTCAGTGTGAACGAAATCTTTTAGAGCTTAAATATTAAAGCCATTTTAGAGAGTAATAAGAATCCACAGATGTTTTTAAATATATTCAAATTTAATTCTTTTCAAATTTTCAGTAAAATTTGATTTAAAAAAATGTAAAATATCTGTCAGTTTGAATAAAATATTTTAGAGCTTAGGTGTAGAGGATTTTTAAAGTAGTAATAGGAATCCAAAGATAATTTGAAACTGAATACTTTTTAAATTTTCAGATGAATGTTTAAAAGTTCACAAGTTTGTTCCTCAATAACGGATATGTTGTATACATGTTTTGTAAATTCATTTGTAATTTTTTCAATGGAATTTATTTAAATCTTTTATTCAGTGATGTATTTTGTAATAAAGTTTATTCATATATATATATGAGTTTCGTTATGTTATTGGAATTTTCTATTCAAGAAAGTAGTGGTATGTAGTCACGATTTTCTCAAGATTCCATAAAACATGTAGAATAAATGTAGAATTCAACCACGCATGATATAATAGCTAGACATGAAATAATGCAAAATTTCTGTATATTTGCAGAAAGTAAATTAACTTTATAAACAGCGAGATAGATCGTCGAACCGTTGGCTCCAACCACCAAGAAATCATTAATTTCAATAATTCCACTCTTAGCATAACACAGATAATATTTTAAATATGAGAGGTAAATATCAAACAATGATGAACCCAAAATATTTTCTTTGAAAGAAATGTAACAATTAATAGCATTTTTTTCATTAACATTGATTTGCAAACAATGGTAAAATTTTCTTTTTTGCATATCCTTGCGTCACATATTTATAAAAAGAAAACTTTCGTACGAATTTGATATAATCAAATATGGCAACGAAAGAACGTGCAATATAGTTACCTTTCATATATTATTTAATAATCCAAAGAGTTCACAAAATATACAAACAGTACACAACTGGTATGTAAATTACACTCATGTCCATAAATTAAGGATAATTCGGAGTCACACGGAAATCGAACTCTAAAATAAATATATCACTTGTAAAATCACTACACACATCTTCAAGAATAATATGCAAATTTCAGGAAGTAACCAGATAACACTGATGGTACGTCACCATGACGAGAGTGTAAGAGAGTGATATATAAGGAATACAGGCAAAGAAGTAAAATTGTTCGCAGGTGCTTTATAAGCATTTCAGTGCAATTACCGAATAGTTATGACACAAAGGACGCATTTGGATGATTTTTTACGTGGTAGAATTATCGGCCGTCTGGAATGTGAGCGTACCCAACTGGAAGTAGCAGACGAACTTGGAATTACCCAGAGTGTCATCTCCAGGCTTTGGCAACGATTCCAAGATGATGGTAATGTGAGTAGACGTTACAGCACAGGTCGCATCAGAGTTGCAACGCCGAATGAGGACCGGTATTTGGCAGTTACTGCCAAAAGAAACAGGCGGAGCACAGCCTCAGACCTGTCTCGTCAGCTCTCTTCAGCCACTGGTACGACAATTTCAAGGCAGACCGTGTGCAGACGCTTAGGGCAGCTTGGTCTACATACTCGTAGACCTGCCAGATGCGTTCCACTTACTGCAACTCACTATCGCCTGCGGTTAACCTGGAGTAGAGAGCATGCATTGTAGACACCGCAACAGTGGGCTTGTGTGATGTTTTCCGAGGATTCCAGGTTTAGCTTGCAGTCTGATTCTCGCCGGACTTTCATATGGAGAGCTCCAGGTACCCGTTACTACCAAGAAAACATCATTGAACGACACCGTTACGGTACTGCAGGAGTGCTCGTTTGGGATGGAATTATTCTGTGTTCCGGGAACTGAACTGCATGTTCAAATTGGAACCATGGCAAGCCAAATCTATCGGAACGTCATTCTGGAACAACATGTACGTTTGTTTCGGGGCGGCATGGGAGCACAGTTTGTGTTTATAGATGACGACGCCCGTCCTCACCGTGCGAACATCGTGAGCGAATGTCTTCAGGAGGATATCACCCGTATGGACTGGCCAGCATTTTCACCGGACTTGAATGCAGTAGAGCACGTGTGGGACATGCTTGGTCGACTAGTTGTAGCCCGTCAACCTCCTCCTACATGCCCTACTGGAACTTCGGAGAGCATTGCTTTTTGAGTGGTGCAATATCCCCCAAGATCAGATCGATAATTTGATACTCAGCATGCCTAGGCGTTGTACGGACTGTATTGCATCGTCTGGGAGACATACAATGTGTTAACAATCATACTAACCATGTAATATTGGTTTTTTGTAAATAGGTTATTTTTGTAATTTGCTCCAGGTAGAAAAAATCGCTAATTTTTTTAATAATATCAAACATATAGCATCTTTTTTTGCTCTTTACCTTTTGTTTAATAAATAAGCTTTACAAATAAGTCAAATTTGTTTTGCTTCTAACTCTTCCTTTGCCTGATTTTGCTTTATCCTTAATTTATGGACATAAGTGTATATACGAGGGTTGGGGCAAAAGTCATGGCAACTATTTTTTTCTTGTAGATATGTTAGATGTGTGAACGGATCACAAAACGTATATGTGTCGTGTGGAAGTTTTGCAGGTATAGTGTGTATGCAGAACAACAGATGGCTCTGTGATAGCTGGCTCTGTGGTAGCGAGGGCTCTGAAATCAGTCAGTTGGTGAGTGTCGTGCGAGATGGAAGTAACCTGTGTTGAGTAGCGCGCTTACTTCAAAATAGACGTTTTCCGAGGGAGAAATGCGATGGAATGTTACAGTGAATTAGTAGAAGGCCTTGGGAATAATGCCCTACCATATCGTACAGTAGCACGGTGGGTAGGAAAGTTTCATCAAGGACGTGTGTCAACCAGTGATGAGCAACGTTCGGACCGACCGGTGAGTGTGAGGACCGACTTGCTACGTGCCGTCATCGAGCACCTCATGGATGAAGACAGACGATGGACGTTACTGGAATTAGAGAGGGCAAGTGGCATCGAGAAACGCACCATCTACAGGATATGGCGTAATGAGCTACAGCTACACAAAATCGCTTCGCGGTGGGTGCCGCATGCACTGACGGGAGTTCAAAGCTGGGTGCCCTATACAATATACTCCGACCACTTTGCACGCTGGCAACAGGACGGCGATCAATTCTTGTCACGAATAATCGCCATCGATGAATTTTGGGACAGGGCATATGAACCAGAACTGAAACGTAACTCCGCGGAGTGGCAACATCCTGGATCACCAAGGCAGCAGAGGGTGTCATTGTTTGCCAGTTTGTTCCTCATGGCAGAACAGTGACTGCACAGTACTACAGGGACTTCCTGGTGCAACAGGTACGACGGGGCGTTCGGGATAAACATTGAGGCCCAGGTTTGTCATGTCAACTTTATATGTGTATTGTGTTATCATTCTTTTGCACGGTGTAGGCCATATTGCCCTGTATACAATCGTAATAAATTCGTGTGTTACGATATTTCAGTGCTATTCATTGTTCATACATGTAGTTAAGACCTTGTACTTTCGTCTGTATATGTCACATTTTCCGACCGAACTGATATCTTCAAGAAAAAAAAAATAGTTGCCATGACTTTTGCCGCAACCTACGTATAATGAAAATATAGTTAACTTAGAACACGTTAATCTAATTAACAAACAATCCAAGATAAAAAAAAATCATGAAAGGGCTCAAATTTTGACTATCGCCCGAAAGGGCTCTTTTAAAATTTAATATAATTTATCACCAGAGATTATCATAGAGATGTTCCAGGTGAAATAGCGAAACATATTGACAGACATTAGATGAATCTGCATTTAGACCTACATGGGAACGTTATATATCTTCTGTACACTTAAAAGTGAAAAAATGTTATATGTAATTCTATAAAAATTTTTGACGTTTTTAATTAGATATATAACGAATTATATGCATTTTTGTTTAAATCAATTATATTAAAACTTTAAAACAGTATTCTTAAGAACTTCGCGTATTCTTTTAAATAGTTTAATTTGTTAATTAATGACAGACAGATTAAATAAGAAAGAATAATATCTCACGTTTTTTGAAACTTGAGTAAAAAGTTAAACAGCGTTTTAAAGCGAAGCAACGCAAAATCACGTTGCGAGACTAAAAAAACCTTTTATTCGAAAAAACAAGTGAACCATTCTCATGTAATTTAAGATCCAAATATAAAAATGACTTTTGGCATGCCTTCTAAAGCCCCCCCCCCAAATTAGAATTGCAACTTAAAGAAAAACTTCAACCAGTCGAAGAGGAAGAAAAAATTTGAAATCTGAAAATGTTAGCTTTCAATATGTAGTACAGCAAGAATTGCAATTAAAAATTTTCAGAACTGAATCGTGCAAGAGAAAGTTTCATTTGCTTTCGTATTTCGTTTTCGAATGTAAAATTGCACAAATTATCGAAGTGCTAAAAAAACATGTAACAATTCGAATAATATTATAAAAAAGGAAATATAAAAGGAGGCTTAATTTCTGTATATTACAACCAAATAGATTTGTTGTTAAATTTTTCTGTTAATAAAGATGATACTGTGCGTAAGAAAGGGAACTGTCCAGAAATCCAGATAAAATGAAATTTAAATGGTTAACTTTATTGTGTATTTTATTAAATAATATTGAAAATAAAAGGAAGATATAATCAACAAATGATAGGAAATTCTGATTGGTCTTTGAGGTAACGGTCTCTAAAGATTTTTTCGCTATCTGTTCGACTGTAGGGAACTTTTTTTATATGAATTAGGGTAAGTTCTAATAGGTTCAGATTCTATTTAAATTCTTATCATTCTATTTCCAAATCCTATTCTATTTATTTATACTTGATAATTGAACTCCATTTAAGTATCTTATTTTCTAATTTATTTTTAATTACTTATTTTTTAATTCCATTCTGTTCTATTAATTCTAGTTTTATTTATTCTTATTCTAATTTTATTTTAATTCTATTTTATTCCATTTATTTTAATTCTCATCATTCTCTTTTCTAAGTCTTTTTTATTTATTCTACTTTATAAAATTTATTCTAGTTATTTTGTCTAATTTTACTCTTTTACATTAATTTTAATTTTATTTTAGTTCTTTTTATTGCAATCTTTAATTGTGTTCTATTACATTTATTTTAATTTTATTTTCATTTTTTTTTTCTATTTTCTAATTTTATTCCGTTTTATGTATTATAGTTTTTTATTTCAATTCTCTTTAATTTATTTTAATTCTATTATACTTATTTCCACCATTTCTGTTCGATTCCATTCGATTTATTTTTATTTTATTTCAGTTCTATTTATTCCCTTTTCTCTAATCTTATTTATTTAAGTCCTATGCATTTTTTTTTTTTTTGTTTTTGCTTGATATAAAAATAATAAACAAATATTTATAAATATAAATTTTCACGTGTTCTGTTAAGTCTTTTTCGCTACTGCAAATAATGAAGCGAATTCTGAATTTAAACGGGCTTTTGAATTGCATAATGCAGTCCTTATGATTTACTGTTCCCAATTTTTATGCAAAACCGCTTGTCAAAAAGATTTCAATCTTCAGTTTCCGAAACTATTTCCAACATAGCTGTAACTGTAACCGGATCCGAGCATATGTTCGAATGCGGAAAATCTAGTGCTCCAGATTGCGTTGAGCAAATGGGGAGAGGAAAGAAGAAAGCCGGCAAGAAAGAAAAGTTTGAGATCGCAAAAAAAGGAACTGTGTCGCATATGAAAGCAACGGATAAAAGCTTCGGGGCAGAAAACAATTGTAACGGAACGGTGCATCCAATACAGAAAACGGTACGTGTAACGGTAATGAGAACATGAAGCTCATATGAGGCTGCAATGAAGGTTCTTGATTTCTTTTAATCTTAACTATCTGATAGTATAGGGAAAGTGAAAGCATTCATTGTATAGTATTAAAGTTATGATTTAGTGAAGCATGTAAATTCTTCAAGTCATTAAGAATTCAGTTCAAATAAGTATCTTCTCATACCTAAATGAAAAATGTTTCCCTTTTTTGAAATACTATTCTAGGTATTGAGTACCCAGAATAGTATTTCAAAAAAGGGAAACATTTATAAAGTTAACGTCTGAATTTCTATTACATTTTAGCTCTTTTGTAGAAATTAAAATCAATCGTAAATCATTTCAAGCAGAATCTATTTGAAAGATTAAATGAAATCTAGTCAATTCCTCAACGTATGTTTATTTATAAATGTAAATTTCTAACTTATCCTTTTAAAATCCTTTAATACAAAACATAATAAAGCGAATTCAGAATGCAAAAAATAATAAATCAAATGTTTATAATTAGATACCATTATACGAATTTATTCTAATTCAATTCAAATTTATTCTAATTCTATTTCAACTACATTTATTCTATTTTCTAATCCTGTTCTATTTATTTATATTTTCTAATTGTACTCCATTTATTTATTCTATTTTCTAATTGTATTCTATTTATTTATTCTAATTATAATCCACTTATTATTCTAATTATAATCCATCTATTTTCTAATTCTATCCTACTTATTCTGCTTATTTCTGTTTTGTAACTCTTTATTCTAGTTTCCATTTAAGTTCGAAAGTATATTTCGTACTCCATTTATTCTATTTTCTAATCTATTCCATTTCTACTATTTTCGAATTCTAGTCTATTTATTCTGTTTCCCAATTCTATTCTATTTTCTAATTTATTTTGCTCATGTTTCTAATTCTATTCATTCTCATTTTGTTTAAATTTTATATATTAAATGCTCTCTTCCAAATATTAATATTTTAATTTCTAATTCTATTCTATTCTATTTATTCTAAGATAATTTCAATTTTTTTATTATATTTTACAATTCTGTTGTATTATATTTATTCTAATTCTATTTCAATTATATTTTTGCTATTTTCTAATTATTTTAAATTTATTTTACCTTTCTAATTCATTCCTCATATTTTGTCTAATTCTATTCTATTCTATCCTATTGTAATTTCGAGTAAAGCAGAGTTTCTCCGATCATTCATACGCGAAGAAATAACACAGGTAATCCAGTTCCCTAACTGTTCGATCGTGTAGTTGTGGCAGGAAAAGAAAAGCACAAGAGCTTTAGCTATCATTCCGTGCAGTATTTTGTCCCATGACGGTGTTGAACAAAGGTGTTATACTGCAACCATTGGCGATTGATATTTATGATCAACAATAGATGCCCCCAGTACTGCAATCCATATTTCTTTGCAAGTATATGGATTAGGAAATAGGCTACCACAGAAACAACGTTTCCTGTTCAATTTATCTTTAGTTTAAGTAAGGGGCAAACGAGGTCGAACACCGCTTTCCAATTTTAAGATAATCTCCTATTATATTTTAAACATTTAAAGTTTTAATTTTCAATTCTAGGCTTTAATATATGAAATTAAAAGCAGAAACGTTCACGAGAAATGATATCTTTCAAGTTGGAAAGAAAGCGGGATTTTTAATTTTGATAACTGCAGTTATAAGGTATTTTCTCCTGTCTTCCGTATGCCTAACGATAACACACTTGGCTGGTATTCGAGAGGTCCAGATGCGAGGGCATTGCTCATGTTTCATGTACTTTTGCTTCAAAAAACATAATCACTCTGCAAATTGATAAAAATTTAACTGTACTAATTTTCTCGTATCCCTATTACTTGTATTTACGTCGTAGAAAAATGAATAACAATTCTTTAAGTTCTTTCTTCTTTTTAGTTTTTTAGAAGAAATAAGATTTTGTTTAAAGTGTATTAGTTTAGATTTCGTTCAACACATACTAAAACCATAAATAAAAAAAAAAAAAAAAAGAAAAAGGAAAAAAAAAAAAAAAGAGAGACAGATTTTTTTTTTTTTTTTTAGTTACTAAACATGGCATCTATTACAATGGTATTTAATAAGCAGGAAAAATTAGAGGAGTAGGACCTGCCAAACAGGTTTGCGCCTAGGCCTCCGGTTTTATAAAAGAGGATTTGAGCCTAAGTACATTAAAATCATCTTCTTAAAATTTTCTGATATCCCTTGCAGATGTAAAGAATTGTGGAATTGTTTTCATACTGAATTTATAAGGTTACAAATTTGAAAGAATTTTGAAAAGTAAACTTAGTAGACAACATGTCTAAATTAAAACTTCATGTTACATTAAAAAAATACTTATGTGAATATTCTATGTTCTTTTGCGGATGTTATTTTCATTCAACATGATTTTGAGAGGAATAGTCCAATTTTGTTTTTCTACGGTTTATTTCGATTTGAGACCGTCATTTTTAAAATGTTAATTTTAGCGTAATTCCGAAAAGACTTTTACAATTCAAGAAAAATTCTAAAAATGTATGCTTTCGACAGATCTTTTCTTTCTAAAAAAAGATTAAATTTTGGAAACATGAATAGTAGTATCGAAAAGTTGTATTCAGCTCATACTTTAAATTTTTGCTTCTCATCTTGCATTTAAAAATGTCTTTCAAGGTTTAATACAAAAATCTGAAAAAGGATTTTTTTTTTTTTTGTGAGCGTAGGGTCAATTAGCTAAATTATTAATTCCAGTAGTGGAATATAATTACTTTGCAACTACTATTTACACAAATGATGGTATGTATGGTTCATTATTTTGGAAACATTCTTGTGGGGAAGATTTCAGTTTGGGCTCAAATATTTCTTTTGCGGAATTCATACGTGAGTACGGGTTCGTAATGTATTGAATTCACACAGAAACGATGAGAGCTTGATAAAATTTATTTTTACAAAAGAAACACTTTACAGACAGACGTTTCACAAAAGTGCATGTACAGCTGTTCATAGAGCACAAAGAGTAGTTACCATTTCAAACTACTGAGAACGTTAAACACAAGGCAGTATAAAAAGCCTCAAATACATAAACTTGGCACAGTGATACTCTGAGCTATAGTCTGAACTCAACTGTGAACTAAACCAAACTGACAACCCTTTCTTTAGACTTAAATGATTTTTCTTCTGTCCACTGAGTAATTTCCAGTACCTTCGATTTCTCGAAATTGCTGCAAGGCATACACAGGTACAGATATTTCACGGTTAGTGTAAAGGAATCAGGATTTAAAATCTTCTCCGATTCTTAGCCTTATATACTTAATGCCATCGCTAACAACCATAGAGATTTTGGTCTCGCTATTGCAAATAACACTGTACGATTAACTTAATTTTTAACCCAGTTTAATTTTTTAGTTGTACATTTGAGAGGTAAAATGGCTTTGTAGTGGAATTCTAGCGTTTACTTTGTAGTAGCGTTCTAGCGTATACATAAGTCCTGTAGTATGCACCCAAAAGTCCTTGGAGGTAAAGTCGGTTATACATTCTGTCTAAGACCTGCACTTAAACTCGGCTCTTGGGGTACATAATCAGTCTTCACAGCTATTAGAACCATCGATTCTTCAGTAGTAGTCTCAGGTTCGGCAGGGACCGTACTGGTACTGTCTCGTCTGCCCCTTGGTTGTGGGAACGTTATATGGTTGGGTATCGAAGGTTGTCCTTAGGAGTTTGGCTCTCCTTGGTCAATATTAGAGGACAGTCTTTGACCTGACTTCGTTCTCTTCGTAGGTGACCGCTATTGTAGGTTACCACTGACTTGTGTGCTGGATACTTGGACTGTGTACAGGTTTGTTCCCCTCGATTCCGAGAGGTTATGCCTAACCTTTAAGGATTTAGTGTACTGATTATTTGACTATAACAATTGATAGAATATATACAATTCAATAAACGATGAAGCATTATATTCTTGAGTAAATTATTTTTCTCTCTATATATATATATGTAATGACAGAACAATTCTGGAGGTATTAACGTAAGATCACTGAGATATAGAAGCGTAGCAACTTTGTTAAGCGTAGACTTGATGCTTAGAGTGTCCATCCATTTTGAAGAAGAAACAATCGAGCAGAATTAAATTCTGTATTTATTTAAATTCTCATTTGTGGTCACAATTAACTTGGCACTCCTATTTCCAGAACATTTATAATTTTGATACTATGGCGATAGAAACGATCATAGCAGCAAATAGATGATTGCAGCAAAGCAGGCAACGAGGAAAGCACAAGGGAGAAGAAAGAGAGTGTCGCAAAAGTAGTAATGCAAAGGAAGAATGGGGAAAGCAAAATTTTTAGTTTTATGTTTTGGTTTGCAACTTCTTTGATTGGGCAAAAGATATCTGGAGTATGAGTTACGTAAGATCGCATGATTAATTTGAATGACGCAGTTTAAACTTATGGCGCTATTTTTAAGACAGAGAAAGTAAGACCTTGAATTAAATAAAACTAAAAGAGATTATAGACAATTAAAATTAGAAGTTTTGTTTCCATTTTTTTATCTTACATATATATACTTTTTAATACTCAAAACAGAATGGTTTTATGATCCTCAAAGATACACATTTTCCAAAAGGTTTCGACCACTAACATATTATCATTCAATAAATGAATAAATTAGCGAAGGATTAAGCAATTAATTAAATTAAAATTTAACTAAATACTGAAATATCTTCCATTTTGATGTTAAAAAATTCTAACAAGGGTGCAGAAAATTTTAATCTTATTTCCAAGGCTATAGCGAAGTTCCCAAAGAGGTTGGAGGTAGAGAAACACTGCTATGCTATAAGTGTAATCATCAAATATTCTGGTAGCATAATGAGATTTGACTGTATTTTTCTTTGACGAAGAATTCTCGGATGATTTGTTGAATGAACTATTGATGCATATCCAAGTTGCTACTCATTATGATTTTCGTTCTTAGTGATTTGGGTGCCTTCACCATTTTATTGATTTGACAT